TAGAAAAATAAAAATTTAGTTAGGTCAAAGTTGGAGAAATACCCATTAATAGGACTATTTTAAGTCAAAAGTCAATGAAAATGCCATGTATGCTGTAACACCCCGTCTGCAGCTGATTAGTTAATATACATATGGTATAATAGCGTGTACAAAATATGAATTAATCAGAAGACTTAACATAAGTATTACCTTTAATTATTGTAAAAAAACAGATAAACTTTTTCTTTTATCCAAATACTACTTTGATTACGTTATCTTAATGAATTAACATATTTGCTATCATTCCCCGCATTGCTACACATAATTATTGTATATGTATAGTCCTGTACTTGTACAAATTTCTTGAATAGTCTACCTATTTCTATTCTATCTATACTTATACTTGACAGATATATTCCATCCAAATATGATCACATGGACCATTCTGAACAGAAACCTACGGACAATATAAAGGCTATAATACGGATAAATCAAAAATCCAATAATACAGAAAAATCCAGACAAAACATAAATCAACATTGTCATACTTAGAATTCATCCATGAATTCACACAAAATCTGGCTCAGTACCAGTCCTGAACACAATTAAACCTGCGAATCTTAAACTTATAGCAGATAAACACACATATATGAAATACCTCGTATGCAGAACTATGGTTTAGAGCCAATACATAAATACATGCTAAAATTCATAACTTCATAACAAATACTCAAAATAAAGGCTAAATATGCCTTTCAAAATGATAATAACTATCAACTTGTATGGATATTACACATGCCTCAAAATAAGTATATACAATATACACACAAAACTCAAAACACATAATCTAGCTCCAATTCTAGCCACTCTGCACAGGCTTCTTGCCCTAAGATGACTGATCAACAACTGTTGGAATACCTAAGATGTCTGAGCAAACCAATTAGTTAATTATAAAATACAATATAGGAATATAAGGGAGGATCAGAGGTGAAGTGCATCCTGGCTACAGTCTTTTTACAAATTTTAATCAAATTCATATTTTCTTTCCATTCTTGATTAATTCTTGCATGATTTTTAATATTCTTGTTTTTAAAATTCTGTTTTTTTAAAAATCCCAAAATCAGTTACTTTCACAATACAAACAAATTTTCTTTTCCAACTTAAGGGGAATAGTTGAATTAATACTTGGTGCATTAATCCTCGAGGGAACGATCTTTACTTATCACTTTTATTACTTGAAACGAACGGTATGCTTGCCGATTTCGCAACACCTAACGTGTCCAAATCTAATATTTTTTTAAAATTAACGTGTTAGAATATCGTATCATGCCGTGTCTCGTATCTATATCAGTGCAATATATGTATCGAGTACTTCACCTTTAGTTTTGCCCTGTTTAGTGCTATGTTTTTAAGCAAATTAAACAGACCCATATTTATAGATCAACACCTTATATCTGTATATCACACGGGTTGATATGACAAATAATGTGTTAAGGGGCAGGATCCTTTGACACCGGTGTCAAATTTAAAGTTTGACACCTCATATAAGAGCCATTAGATAAAAAAAGATCAACGACTCTGATTTGTAAGCATGTGACACCATTGATCTTCTTTGATCTAACGGCTCTCAAATAAGGTGTCAAACTTTAAATTTGACACCGGTGTCAAACTTTAAATTTGACACCGGTGTCAAAGGATCCTGCCCCATGTGTTAATTTTATTTTTAAATAAAAATTACTTAAATAACCATTAATTAATAAATAAAAGTTGGGTGAGTGAAGATAAAAGTATTATTATATAATTACTTCATTTAAATTGATCGACACAAACAATACACTCACAAGAATACACTTAGAGCCTGTTTGGATTCTCTTCTTTTTTAAGCTAGAAACTACTTATAAGCTAAAGTTAAAAAAAGAATTTAAAAAAAGGCTAAAACTTGTTTGGTAATCACATAAAAGTTTTAGCTTAAAAGTTACTTAAAAACACATATTTCAAGAAAATTATCTCTCTCTATTTTTATAACTCTTCATTTTAAAAAAGGCATACAATTAAAGAAAAACAGATAAGAGCTAAAAAAAAACTCCTCCTAGAAGCTTTTAGTTTTCAGTTTTTTCTTTATTATAAAAAAAGAGCTTTTCATTATAAGAATTTTTCCCAAAATCTGTTTGACCTAACTTATGTTTGTAAGTAGCTTCCAACTTAAAAAAAAAAATATAAACAGACACTTACATAAACACGACACATTTTTTAATTCGATTGCTTTTTCGCCTACATGAACATGAATACGAAAAATTCATGTCATGTTTGGATCGTAATGAAAATCATCATCCCTAATTAGCCCTTGCTTTGAGCTTCTAGAAAGTGTCTTTATTGCTATTTCTTGCCCATCTAGTGATTGTCTTTGAAGTGTTTGTTTATTTAATCATATCAACAAGCGTAACTTTGATCAGAAAATATTGAGAAATTTGAGATGAATATACTGTTACATTCAATAGCATGAATAATGTACAATCCCATAAAATTCAAATTCCTAACCAAGTGATCACGAGCTATAGTATCATATAATAGAACAATTCAACCCAACAAATTAAGATGGGTTTTATATTAATATCTTTAAGGATTACTTGTTAAAAGTATTTAATATTTTAAATATAAAATATTGAATTAAATGTTATAAATTTAAAATATATAAGTATTTATTATTTTAAAATTTGTTGTTTTAGTTTTCTTAACTAGCAACTCACATTATTAAAAAAATGGTTGGATTCGGTTAATAAGTACTTTTGAAAATTAAGGCATATATTAACAAATAAAACATAAAGTATTTAATATTTCAATATTTTAAAAAATCAGTTAATATTTTTTAAAATATTGAGATAATTTAATAAAACTAATAAATAATTTTTTAATTCCTTGACATATATCTTAAAAGAATATATTCATAATTAATTTTTAATTCCGTAAAAATACGCTTGGTCGACATACTTCAAGACGGCAAAAAGCATCACTGGGTTTCTTGTTTTTTGGGTTACTACGTATGAGTGAAATAATTTAATTTGTTTCATTTTTTGTTTTGGGGACGGATGCGGAGTAATAAAGCATATGTGTATGGATTACTTTGTCTTACGAGATTGGCTTTTTTACCCTTATAACCCTTTATTATTAATTAATTACCGATTTGACCTTGATTTTAAACTATTTCAAAAATTTAACCCCCTCAAAAAACATAACACCAATTTGCCCCTGTTTGACCGTTGACCACCAAGCCTACCCGGGTACACCCCTCTCTACCCGGGTATTTTTTGAAAATTTTTGTCTACCCGGGTAGGGAGGAGTGTACCCGGGTATTGTTCTTCGCACCTGAGAAATTGCTTGAATTATTTACCCGGGTAGAGAGGGGTGTACCCGGGTAAATTTTGAGAATACAGATATTACTTTGTATTCCATCTATGTGGTGCAGAACTATACATGTTGGTTTCTCACTTTGAAGCTTGTTGGACTCGCTGTGTTCCGAGATTGTCCAGGAAGCTATTCAAACAATTATATGTATATCAGTAGAATGCAGCATGTAAATATAAACGAGTCAATTGTTAACACCCCTACTCATAGTGTCCCCTGAAGAAATTTGGTCATTAACCTATCTATTAGTAACCTATCTATTTTACTATAATTAGTCATCTGTGAGATTGGCATTTTGGATATAACGCTCTATAAGAAACACCAAAGATGTGCTCTTTACTTGTTCCCTCTCTCCCTTCAAGAACCTAACCATGCCCGAACACTCGTTCACCACTTCGCCAACCCATCACCGATTTCGTGGATCAAGGGTTACGCCACAAGCTTTCCTCTTCCACCTGTAGAGTGTAGATCTGATGTTTAAGAAATTGCAAAAAGAAATTAACCCGGAAACTGAATGCAATAAAGCATCTGTGTTGTACTTTACCATTCAACAGGTTATGATTATTTACCCGGGTACATAATTCAAAAAAAATTCAGATTCAAGAAATATACCCGGGTAGGGAGGAGTGTACCCGGGTAGGTAAAAAATTTCAAAATATACCCGGGTAGGTAGGGGTGTACCCGGGTAGGCTTCATGGTCAACGGTCAAACAGGGGCAGATTGGTGTTATGTTTTCTGAAGAGGTTAAATTTTTGAAATAGTTTATAAATAGAGTCAATTTGGTAATTAATTATTAAAAAAAAGGCTATAGTGGTCAAAAAGCCTACGAGATTTGTCTAATAATCCTAAGCGGCTAATGACCAAAGCTTCCTTCTATTTCCTTCTTTATGGCAACTCATGATTCATTGTTCAATACTTCAATTCATTTGGTGACTTCATTGTTCAATGCATTCGTTTCTGGTTCTGCTCACATCTCATGCTGCCGTGCTCTCCTTAATCACCGGTATTTGTTCTTTTCTCTTCTTCTCATTCCTGCTTTGCACCATCTCTGATCTGTTGAATGTTTTTCTTTTTTAATTTTTTTTAATTTTTTTTTTCTATTCCTGCCTTTTGATCTGTTATGTGTGTGTGCCTGTCAATGCTAACGCATAACGTCAAAATGAGAATTCAACTTACAACCTATTCGATTTCGATCTATATTTAGGTACAGCTGTTCTAATTAAAACATTCTAGGTATCTTTAATTATTCGGAACTGTCAAATGATTTGGACCAGTCCAATCCACGTGCAGTGAAAATAATGATCCTTGTACGATGATGGCATAGATGCATCGTCAATCTGTAAAAGTCTCTTCATTGCTTTTTTAGTTTCTCTGGAAGAAAATATGGCACAAAACCAACATGTGGTTTTGCTCTGATTTGAGAGCATCATCAATTTTCAAAATCCATCCTCCGAGTTTTGCTAGAACTTCAGCCGGGTAATGAGGAAGCTTATTAATTAATTTTCCCTAAATCTTAACAAGTAGAAATCAGAAATTGATAATTTATTGCTCTTTAGAATTTAAAGTGGAAGTCTGTGTTCATAAATGCAGCTCTCCCAGTTGGGTACACAATGGTAAAATTATCTTCCATAAATACTAGTATTTGTTACATCATTTAAGGAATGATGTTCTTGCTTGCTGTAAGGAAGTTCTGACTCTTCCACAACCACATTGATGAAGAATGCTGACTGCTTTGGTTGGGGAAGTTGTATTGTATCATTTGATAGAAAAGAAACAATATCTGACATGGTAGGTCTGTCTGTTGCTTGAACTTGTACACACAAGAGGCCGATATGAATACATCTCAAAACTTCATTGTGTGTACTTAATTCATTTAATGCTGGGTCTACTAGCTCGAGAGCTCTACCTTCATTCCAGAGCTGCCATGCCTACAAGAGTCCCACCATCCACACACACACAAAAAAAAAGGAATAAAATTCTTATCCATCGATAATGATAAGTATAAATTTTAGGAACTAGCCACTTGGGAAACTTACATATCCTATGAAGTTGAGTTGGCAATCTGAATGATAGTGACAACGATTCTTCTTGCCACTAAGAATCTCTAATAGCAGTACACCAAAGCTAAACACATCTGTCTTAATAGACACTACACCATATATTGCATACTCTGGAGCCATGTAACCGCTGCAAAGATAGCAACTTGAAAGAATGTTTGCTTGGAGATAAATAGAAGACAGAAGATGTTGAAAATGCATAATCATTTATAAACTTACTATGTACCAACAACTCTATTTGTGTTTTCTTCTGATACACTTTTTCCAAATATTCGAGCTATGCCAAAGTCAGATATTTTAGGATTCATCTCTTCATCAAGTAATATATTGCTCGCTTTCAGGTCCCGATGTATCACCCTTAGTCTTGAATACTTGTGAAGATAAAGAAGTCCTTGAGCAATGCCTCCAATGATGTTCAAGCGTTTTTTCCAGTCTAACAAATTCTTTCTAGTTGAATCTGTTCTGAAGTAAGGATGCTTATTAATATGTTATGCTATATGCTAACATTGGCCAGATTCTTAATTTGTTAAGATAAAAGACAGCCTACCAAACAGGTAGAAGTCTAAGCTCTTGTTTGGCATGTACTCATAGACTAATATTCTTTCATCATTCTGGATGCAGAAGCCTAAAAGCTTTACAAGATTAGTGTGCTGGAGTTTGGCCATGAGTTTGGCTTCATTCTTAAACTCTATTAGCCCTTGTCCCGAACTTTTAGAAAGTCGCTTTATTGCTACCTCTTGCCTATCACTTAGTATTCCCTGAAAGTGTTATTATATCAATTCCTATCCAGATGGTTTCAAATTTAAGTATGCAGAATCGCAGATACTACCTTATAAACAGGACCGAAACCACCCTCTCCTAGCTTATTAGCGGCTGAGAAATTGTTTGTGGCTGCAGTTATGCTTTTGAAAGTGAATACTTCCACCTCGTAGCTTGTGTTTTCCTTTTCCTTACTTTTTCTTGCTTTGCCGTACACCGTCATCGCATTACCTCGAATCTCATCTAATAGCTTCTGCATCTTTTGTCTATTCACTAGTTGTGTGACATGAAAATATAAGTTATAAAAGACCTTAAAGGCTTAAACTCATAAAAAACCGTTTTTAAAATTTATAATGTGGTAGTTACCTTTTTCTTTATATTTTCTCCCAAAGTCACGGCCTAAATAGAAGATCACAGTTATTGCAAGGGCTGCTACCACCCCAATGATGAGCAATATCCACCACCTGTTTACTGCAACTCACAGGAATATTATTTTCAACTCTGAAAAGGTTGCTGAAACAATCTTAGACGGAGGGTTAGAGGGTTTATGACTAATGACTTCTTAATTATATCCTAGCCAGGTACCTGAAAATACATCCAAAGTATCAAGAGATATAACCAATTGATTTGGAGCCAGTTATGAGTAACCTGTATTTGTTATTTATTGTGATTACTTCTTATTCATGATCAACTATATTCAGTCAATCTGAACCCTTTTATTTTTTATTTTTCTAATTGGAAATCTTAGAGCTGTAAAAATGTTGAAGGAAAAGCAACCTTTTCTTTAATAAAAAATATATAAAATTTTGAAGAAAACTGGTAAAACAAAATAACAACCTTACGGGTTGGGAATCTGGCCATACCTTTGAATTTAATAACGTGGATTGTCCGTGCTTTTGCCCCAGAAGCTTTAATGAATTTCGATCCTTCGCCCCATATCCGGCAACCGGTATTGCTAATGTGATTTGTTGGGGCATACGCTTCACAGGAACAGTTGTTCCTACAAATGATCTCACAGCACTGTGTATCAATGCTCACGCCATCATAAACTTTGATACCATCCGTGGACATGTGACCTAAACGTTCCACGAAGCCACTGTAGCGGCTTCTGCATTTGGGAAGGCTTTGCTGTGTGCAAAGAGGACTTACTTGAATGTTGGTACTGTAGCCACTATTTTTATCGGAGAACCTTGACCACAACATCACACCTCCATAATTTGGTGACTCCTTTACTGCTGGTAATATCGTGGATATTAATACATCTGCTGGAACATAACCACTTGTAGCTGATGCTGAATCTGCTGGTAACCCCAGAAATATTTTCCCCACTTTTAATGATGTCGTCCATTTTTTCCAAGTATGCACGAAGTTAGTGAAATTTCTGTGTGTATAATCGCATGCAGGATTGTTGTAGAATAGTACCCAAACATAGTCAAAAAGGCCAGTATCAAGGGCCGTACCCAACTGTGCATCAGGAAATAAGCACTGAGGTGCTGCAGACAAGTACACTTTTTTGTGTGACTTAAGGTAACGTGCAAGGTCTTCCACGTGTGGTACATATTGTTCTATGTCGAAATCAATGCCATCTAATATTGCATCGCCAAATGGGCGTGATGACGAGGAGCCACCCAGGAAATTGTCCCACAAATAATCTGAGACATTTTTAGCATCAGCTGAGGAATTTAGATTATAGCTACCTTCTGCCCCTCCGATGGAGAGCATCACCTTGATCCCTTGCTTCTGGCAATTCTTAATATCTCTTCCAAATTTAGTGCACCCATTAGTAAAAGAGTTACAATGACCAGCGAGATTGATATGAGAGGGTTGGCCATATCCGAAGGTGGGAAGGAAGGCTATGATTACATATGAGTATATTCCTGTTTCACATGTTTTAGTTAGGCTTCCCTCATCTTCGTTTTGACCCCAGTAAATGGCAACGTCGTCGTTGGCTTCAGAGGGCTCAAGTAGGAGTAGGAGGAAGAGGAATAGCAATAGGAAAATTCGGGGCATCCTTCGATATGGTTGACCATGCGTATTCAAACCAAAGAAATCAGACTCATCAGTGTGTGGTGTGGAATTTCAACTGAAATATGTTTCATTTTCGTTCGAAACGTAGGTTGAATCCCAGTCTCAGAATCTGTTTTCATGTGCCATCTTTGTTCATTTCGCGCTGTACTAAGTTTCCGGCATTGATCTTGTGTGCAAGCTTCGCTTGAGTATAATACTATGGACTCTGCTTCACTATTGTAAAAGATTTTCAAGCTACCAAATCATCAATGACAAGTTTTGCTTGTTGCATAAAAAGCGAGATGTATTAGTTGGCAAGTCAAAGTCACCCTACGTTGTAATGTATTCCTAGGTTAACTTTTCCACTTTTATTGGCAACTTTGTTTCAATTTTTGGGATGCCATTAAATACGATGATTTTGATGAAACTAAACTAAAAATAAAATATACAACAATTTGATGAAAATTGCAATGATTTTGTTATGGAGCAAGGTGAGCCTGCTGATGAGTAGAATACAAGCGAAAAGAAAGAGATAAATAAGGAGAAATTCCAAAGGCTAAATTACAAATTATTGGAACAATCATAACTATTGTTTGTTACGAAAATTAAACATGGGAAATATGTTTCTTAGCACGAGACAATGTAACACACAGAAAAATGAGTTAGATCTATTAAATAGAAGAGAAAAAGAAAAAAGTTAGTCTTATTTTTTTTCTATGTTACATGAGATAATTTATTCCAATATGAGAAACATATTTTCCATTAAATATATGGAATTTGCATTTATCATTTCACATGACACAAGAAAGTTTCCTATACACACAACATTTTGTGAACCCACACTTTTTGAAGCAAAAAAAAAAAAAACTATGGCATGCAAAACGAATCTCTATAACATTACACAATCACTTTTCCTACAACATAACTCTTATAAAACCCTAAATATATACAATAAAAGATAAAAGACAAAAGTGACATTATGTTCTCTCAAGTGCTAGACAAGTAGACAGAAATCAGTTGCTTCCACACAGTTGCCGCTGTCTGCACTTGCAGACACAAGCTTGAGAATTTTTTTTTTTCACAGGATGGGAGATTTAGGAAGATTGAAAAGAAAAAAATAAACATAGGCCCAACCATGGTAGTTAAAATCGAGATCTTACCTAAAATCGGAAAGAGGATAAAAAATCATAAAATGTAAAATCTTAACATAAAAAACATCGTAAAAAATCATAAAATCGTAAAAGTGTTTGGAATTTTGATGAAATCATTTTGATTAAAAAAATTTGTAAAATCATAAAATCACATATTTAAATCAGAATTTTAACTAACATGGACTCAACCCAACCAACCCCTATAATTCTTTTCTTTTCTTGTTTATATATTTTTTAATACATTTAAAATTTCTTTTAAAAAAAATCTTCGGGGGCCCCACCCTAAGTCTGCAGACATAATTTTTTTTCTGGGTCCACCATTGTCACCACCATCTTCATCTCCATCGCCTCCTACCTTCTTGGGATATATATGGGCTTATCGTTTCTCGAGTTGCTTGAGATAATTTTATCTTCAGCTACTAAATCATAACTGCACAAAGATAGATCAATGATGATAAAGGAAGAGAGAGAAAAAGAGAATCATAACCACTCGAAGGTGAATCAATTAATATAAGGAAATAAAGAAACAAAACGACATAATTTTGGAGTGGCCGGAGATAAATTTATCTCAAATTGCCGGTTGTCCCAATATATATGGCTTATCGTTTCTCAAGCTGCTTGAGATAATTTTATCTCCGGCTACTAAACCATAATCGTACAGAGATAGATCAATGATGATAAAGAAAGAGAGAAAAAGGGACATATCCATTCAAAGGTGAATCAATTAATAAGAAAATAAATAAACAAAATGATGTAGTTTTGGGATGGACGAAGATAAATATATCCCAAGCTAATTGAGAAATATTTTTCTCTCTCTCACACACACACACACACACACGTATATATATATTGGGTGGATCTTTTGACACCGGTGTCAAATTTAAAGTTTGACACCTCCTCTGAGAGTCCGTTAGATAAAAAAAGATTAACGGTGTCACATGCTTACAAATCAGAGTCGTTAATCTTTTTTTATCTAACGACTCTCAGATGAGGTGTCAAACTTTAAATTTGACACTCGTGTCAAAGGATCCTATATATATATATATAGGATTAATATTTCTTATGTTATATGAGATAATTTTATTTTTTACACACACATAAAAGTGTGGGACCTATGTCAAGAGAAGAGAAAAAAAAAATATGAACTTCACACATAAAGATAAAATTATCTTTTATAACATGAGAAATATTAATTCCTAAATTTATGTGTGAGTTCTCCTATTGCATGAAGAATACACTCCCTCGTGCTGATGTGTGCCTAGCTCTCTCTCTCTTTTCAAATGTATGGACTATGATGCACGGACACTGACACGGGACACGACACGCCGACACGTTAATAATAAAAATAGCATATTTTGACACGTTTTGATATTAAATAATATTTTTAATATATATAATATAATTTATATTTAATAGATATAACAGTCTATAATAAGTCATATAACCAATCAAATATTCAAATTCCATTCAATATGTTTGTTTAGGTTTTTTTTGTGATATATATATATATATATATATATATATATATATATATATATATATATATATAATTTAGCTAACATTATAATATATTCCGAACTTATATTTGATTTAAAATATATTAAATGATATTATATATTTGATTTGTTACGCATTCCATGTGACATGTTTTTATTGAATAGAGTATAGTACTTTGAAAACGTACAAGAATCTATAGGGGATGTTGTCCGTTGTGATCAATGTCTGGAGTCTTCTATTCTCGAAGGCTTCTTTTGAGAGGTTGGAGGGGAAGGGAAGGGAAGGGAAGGGAAGGGGATCCAAGGAGGAGGAAGGGGAAGGAGGAGAAGAAACTTGAAAGGTATTCTCTTCCCTTATTTGGGAGTCAAAAAAATGGTAAGGGATAAAAATAGAGGGTTAATAAGATATTTTTACCACTTTACCTCATTTTTAAAATAAATATAATTATTATATTTTACAAATTAAACAAAATTTAAAATTTCTAACAAAATTATTTATGTACTTTTTACAATACTAAAAAAGATCATATTTTTGACGAAATTTTTACGTTGCTAATGTCAAAAATTTCGTCACAATTATTTTTTCGTCACAATAATTTTCGTAGAAAAGCAACGAAATTTTTTCTCTCACAAAAAATTTCACAAAAATAAATTTTCTACCAAAATTTTCAACGAAATTTAGTTTTCGTCAAAAGTTTTGACGGAAATGATTTCCCCCCCCCCCATCAAATGTTTTAAACGAAAAAAGAATTTCGTCAAACATTTTGACGGAATATTTTTCGTTCAAAATTTCAAAGGAAATGTGTTCTGACAAAATTTTTGAGAGAAATGTCTCATTCGAACTTTCAACGAAATTTAGAATATGTAAATAATTTTGACAAAATATTTTTTCCGTCAAAATCTTTTATCGAAATATTTTTCGTCAAAATTTTTTACGGAAATATTTTCTGTCAAAATTTTTTGACAGAAATGTGTTCTGTTGAAAATTTTGATGGAAATGTGTTTCATTAAAAATTTTGACAGAAATTTTTTTTTGCCAAAAAGTTTAACGAAAAAGTTTATATCGAAAACTTTCTATAAAATTTAAATTCTGTAAAGAATTTTGATGAAAACTTTTTCTGTCAAACTTTTTTGGTGAAAATGTGTTTCGTTGAAAATTTTGATGGAAATATTTTTCGTCAAAAATTTCGATGAATATGTTAGGGAAATGTTTTGACCAAATTTAGATTCTGTAAAAAATTTTGAAAAAAATATTTTTCGTCGAATATTTTTGCGAAATTTTTTGATGAAAATATTTTCCGTAAAAAATGTTAACGTAATTATTTTACGTCGAAACTTTTCGATGGAAATGTTTCTTCGTCAAAATTTTGGATGAAAATATTTTCGTTGAAAGTTTTGATGGAATTTAGATTCTATCAATAATTTTGCCTGAATTTTTTTTTCATAAAAAATGTATGTCACTCATTATGGCAAAATCTGGTTCCGTCTCTAATTTCGTCTTTAGTTTTGACGGAAATTTTTGACATATATGATTTTCATCAAAAAAATTCATCACTATTTTTGACGAAATATTTTTCGTTGATAAATTCTGTCAGTATTTGAGACTTTTCTAAAAATGTCACATTTAAAAATGATTCACATTTATGTAGTTTTCACATTTTAATGCTAAGGGTAGATAAGTAATTTTTAATATTTTTTCCTTCAAACCCCCCAATTTGGGGGAACTTTAATTTTAAGAAGGAGGAGGGTTTAGTAAAAATCTCTAATTCCTTCTCCTCATTTTTTTAAACTCACAAATAAAGGAAGAGCTTTCTAAAACTCCTTTTTTCCTTTCCTTCCACTCCTAAAACCAACTCCCAAACAAAGCCTAACATTCTGCATATGTATCTCTCTCTCTATATAGTTCTTCCATTCTAAATGTTCTGTATCTAATATTTTGATCACAGTTACTTTGGTGTTTTGGTCAACTAAAATTGATAGATATCAATATCAATATTTCAATTTGTTAGTTAGTTATAGTTAGTTTTTGTTTCTGTTAGTTAGTTGTCCACGTGGCACCTTTGTAACTTACTTGGTTCCAAAACTATAAATAGAACCAAGCTTCTGTAAATTAATACTTTTGATTCATTATCTTAATGAAGAACTTTCAGTTTGTTTTACTTTCTAAGATGGTATCAGAGCTCTACATGGAGCTCTGATATTCGCCGTTTCGATTTCTGCATAGCTTCATTTTTAGAAGTTCCTTTTACGCTTCTGGTCTTCCTTCGATTTTCTTTTAGGAGATCACTTCTGTATTCATGGAAGGTGATGAAATGGCGAATCAGAGCTCCAACCTAAGCGAAGAATCAGACGCTATTCCAGTTCAGGTGAAGAATGGTGGTTCGGTTAAGGCTATCGTTCATGATATTTCAGATCCAGAAAGTCCCTACTATTTGCATCCAAGTGAGAATCCTGCACTTGTGTTAGTTTCGACGCTGCTAAACGGTAAGAACTATCATGGCTGGGCTAGGGCCATGAAGATGTCTTTGATTTCGAAAAACAAGTTTTCCTTTGTCAATGGAACAATTTCTGTTCCTGAAATCTCAGATCCAAGGTTTGCTACTTGGGAGAGAT